CTATCTATCTATCTATCTATCTATCTATCTATCTATCTATCTATCTATCTATCTAATCTATTATTTTTTGTGGGGGTAGAGGAGAAAGTATATTTATTCATCTAGTTTACCTTATACTTATTGCAGCAATAAACAGTTGCCCCACCCCCCTCTCTCTCTTCTGGCGCTGTGGCTTCATAAACGGTCAGCGATGCCCCACCCTGAAACCACTAGCGCCAGATAAAGATAATGACTTGATTGAAAGGCGGCGTAGATATAAAAACAGAATGGTTCATGATATTTGTCCTAACTATTTGCGGACAAAAAAAAAAAAAAAGTCCGTGTAAATAAATGCCAGAGTAAAACAGACAAGACGAAATTTTTAAAAAATATACAAACAACGCCAGTATTTATATATACATTGAGATGGTATAAAATGCTGCTTTTATTATTATGAACAGTCAAGTAAATAATATGAAGAGAAACTGGTGACAAACGTAAATCAATAGTGATTATAGAAAAGGATGGAGGTTCAATAGCTTTGAAAACAAAGGACTATATCTTGAAAATCTCTAACATCATTAGAAATACCAAATTGAACCGTACATTTTTCTGAAGCGGGGAGGGGGGGGGAGAGAGAGAGAGAGAGAGAGAGAGAGAGAGAGAGAGAGGGGGGGGGGGGGGGGGGGGGGGGTGTTGTGAGGGGTGTAGCACCAAGCACCTGGATAATCTTGAGAACTGATTATGGACCAATGGCACTTCATAAACCTTTCGTCCAAATTATCACTTTTGGAAAAAACAAAAATATCCCGAGCAAGAAGGGATTAATTCAGAGCCAGCCGAAAAATACGATCAACCGACATCACGTCCGCCAACACCCCCCACCCCCACCCCCACCCCCTACCTATAATAAAATGCTCGACAACATGATAAGTAACATCGCAAATTACTACGGGTTTAGCTGAAGAATAAATGAGGAAGTCTGTTACCTCGAGGACAACATAGCTTAGAAACCAGAAGAGCAGTGAAAAGAAAAAACAACAACCTTGGTGCAAGCCTTCGAGATGACGATATGTAGTGAAATAGAGAAGGGAAGTTATTACAAGGATGAAGTTATTGCAAAGATATCAAAAACTGTAAATATGAACAAAATTTCAGCAGACAGAGAAGCAGAAAAAGCTAAAATTTCAGCCTGAAAAGGCACACTTTTAAAGTGGGGATAACAGCAAGTCATTAAATGTAGATTAGAATTTTAAAAAAGTCTTCCAAAGGAAAGCAAACTACTCGGGACATTCTAAGTAAAGTTTAACAGGGATCAAGTTTAGAAACATGACTATATTATACGTTTAGTCTGATTTTACTGTCAAAGGTAACAAAAAGAGAAATCCACTCAGAGACCTTGTAATCATTTACGTCTTAAAGCATTCCAATCCCACAGTTCCGTGACACGAATAGAAACGTAATATTTTCCATCTCCTTATTGTCCCCCCCTTTTCCAGCACTCATTAAAAAGATTCCGCATTGACAAAAACAACAGCTAAATAAAAATAAGTGCAATCAATTGCAGCAACAATACTGACAGCTCGTACAGGTACAAAAAAAACAACAACAGGTGCAATAAAAGCAGTAATCAATAACTGAGTGGAAAGGAGCCCAACCCGTTTAAAAAAGAAGCAAAACCAAAAGGTGAAAGAAATATCGGGACAGGAAAGAACGACAACGTTTTGAAGTCCCATTATCCCAACCAAAAAGCAGTTCATTACTCCCGGGTTGAGAGATACCTTT